ATGGTCAGCCTGGACCGATCTTCCGAGGGGCAGTGTGCAGTGCCTTGGCAGTGCAGAAAAACCTGAAGGTTATCACTATGCCTGGAGATACTGTTACATTACAACACATGGCTGTGGTAATGATCTGTTGCTGCCTAAGAGACCACCTCAATGCCGAGTGGCTTCTCACAACTAAATTTAAGCACTGTGCTCAAAGATTGGTCGTTTGGCTTCATTGGTGTAGCTCATCTCTGTCAAGTGACGTCAGCTGAGGTGGCTCCCCTGGAGACTAAAGGATCAAATGGGCAGGCACGTGTGAACCTGGAGTTCTCTCTACATGGAGCTACCACGGGCTGCTCGGCTTCCTCACAGCATGGTAGCTGGGTGGGCCTTGCCTCGGGACTCCAGAGCATCCCTTCCACGTGCTCTAGATCACGGCAACCACAGAGGCTCACCCAGGCTCAAGCAGAAAGAAAGGGGACCCAACCACTTGATGGAAAGGAGGGTTGCCATTTCCCAAGCGACTTGCAAAGAGTAAGTAAAGTGGAGCCCTGGTGGCCATTTTTGGAAAATTCAGCCCATAGGAACGTCCACTGTACTTCTCCTTCTTTCTAGTACACCAAGGAGAGTGTTTCAGTGCTTAGAGAACTGGGCTTGGAGCTTCTCTAATGCATAGATCCCCCTCTGTAACAAAAGCAGGCGGCCTCGGGCTATAATTTAATGGCCATTTTCCTGCATCTAGACCCCGAGCTAGCATCCCTTTTGTAAATAATCCTGGTGTTTCATTTGCAATCTCTGGGAAAGGACATCAAGCTCGGTAACCCAGAGGGGCTGTGAAAAAGAGCCAGCCCCTCAAGGAAATGGGTTGACACAGCGGCTGCAGCCACACGTTCCAACCCAGCAATGGTGAGGATGGGGCAACGCTTCATTCTCTTGTGCGCCGGTTCGGGCACCCGACGACATTCACGGTAGTGATATGAAGTTTCTCTCTTTTAAGTGTTCTTTTCATAAAACCTGAGTGCTGTAAAGAAAAATGAAATTAAGGTTGATTATTCTGATCTGAAGGACAGCATTTGCCCCAAACCAAAGTTCAGAAGGCAGAAAGGGTCCTCTAAGCAACAGGAATGGGAATAGCGGGAGGAACAATAAAACCCCTCACGCACTTGAGCTTTCCCCCATAGCGTGTCCTTGTGAACAGTGTTGAACATCACAGCAGTTTCTGCAGCACTTTTCCCGAGCAGGAAACAACATTCCACAGCCACACGCTGTTCTCTTAAATCAGCCATCACAAAAAAAACAAGGTTGAGCAAAACTGCTTTTATGAAAAAATTCACCATGACCAGAGAGAACCTTCCCAGGTGACCCCACTGGGTACACTAACTCAGAATGAGTTTGCTCAATGCTCGCTTGCCTAACAGGAAAATGCATACTAAGAAAGGCCCACTCCACCCAGCACAATTCTGGGGTGTTTGTGTGTGTATGGGGGGGGTACCCCCTCATAAGTACGATTATAAAAAGGGCCCTCCTGGCAGCCGCTGAGGTGCCACTTCCCCTCCAGGGTCATCGGCACCTACTGTGCTCAGCTGTTTTCACTGTTGCCAGCCCCAGGGGTGGAAGGTGGTCTCGCTTCCTGAGAGGGAGCACACCTTTGTGTGCATGCACGCCCCCACACATACTGTGACTGACTCCGCACATAGACTGTTTGGTCAATCCTGAACAAGATACTTTGCAAGTTTTACCCATAGTCCGTTGGATTATATGAAGTCATTTGCCTCATACAAGTTACATTTCCTTTTTGATGCATTCTGCCAATATTTATTGGTATGTATTGATTCTTATCTTTTTCTGAAGAAATCTTTTGCTTGTGCCTGAGGTCATGTGGAGTTTTTTTCTTTCTGATTGTGTGTGCGTGTGCGTGTGTGTGTGTGTGTGTGTGTGTGTGTGTGTGTGATGTTGGTGGCACAGGGAAGGTCCCCACAGGCACTGGGATTTGGGTAGCTGAGCAGCCTGGTGTCACCATTACCTGCACTGGCCTCTCCTGACTGGGAAGTCGGCGGGGCCCTCCAGAGGCCACCTTGCAGTGCCTCAGAGCCTCCTGCCACACACACTAGTCACCAGGCCTGGCTCCATCAGCTCAGAGAGAGCCTCCTCCCTGCTTAGGACCTCGAGCTCTGGCCTGGCTGCCCCCACCTACCCACCCCCAAGCATTTCCCCACCTTCCCAGGAGGGCACCCTACTCCTGGTCCCACTGTGCACGAGGCCCCGGCTGAAGGACAGGAAGCAGGGCAACTCAAGCCCCTCCTTGTTCAAGACACCTTGGGGGCCAAGAGGGGAGCAGACAGCCATGCCCCTCCAGATACTCCCTGGGGAGGCCTCAGCCAGTGCGTGGAGCAGCTGGCGTGGGTAACAACAGTTCACCCATGTGCTGCTGACCGGCCCACCCACGAGGCACACCAAGCAGCATTTCCTTGACCACCACAGGATGTCTTTCCCTTTGCGGCGGTGGCAGCTGTCTCATTGCTCCTGAACTGCCCCAGCTTCTGTGAAGCGAAGCAGGCCGGAGGTTCCCGTCTCACTGGGCGGGCAGCTGGCGTTGAGTCATATGGAATGGCTCACTGTGCTTCCACAGGGCTTTGAAGTCTCGCTTACATTTGTGAACACTGTTCCACGTTGGGGGTTTTCCTTCCTTTTTCGCTCTTCTTTGTGGTGGAGGTGTGGCATGTCTTTTTTCTCCCCCAAACCTGCCCCCAAGGTCTTGGTGCTTTGTAAAGGAGTTGAGTGGCTCTCCACAAACGCCAATGTCCCGGTGAGATGATGGATGGCCCGGAGGCTGGGCCTGCTCGCCCACCTCAAACCTGGCCTGTGAGGACAGAAGAAAGCTCTGGAGCGGGCTAGGGGAGAGGGAGGAAAGAGAAAGTCACTTTGGTTTTTGGAAAGCACAAGGTTCTTGAATCCAAGGTAGATAAACCCCTCAGGGCCAACAATGAGAATGGAGATACCAGGAGGATAAGGGGAAGGTGGGGAGAGAAAGGGGGAATCGATCACAAGGATCTGCATATAACCCCCTCCCAGGGGAACGAACAACAGAAAAGTGGGTGAAGGGTGACAGAGGACGATGTAAGATATGAAAATAATAATCCGTAACTTAGCAAGGGTTTATGAGGGAGGGGGAAAAATGAGTGGATACCAAGGGCTCAAGTAGAAAGAAAATGATTTGAAAATGATGATGGCAACAAATGTACAAATGTGCTTGACACAGTGGATGAATGTATGGATTGTGATAAGAGATGTAAGAACCCCCAATAAAAGTATTTAATAATAAAAAATTTATAAAAGCAAAAGATTATCTTTGAGGAAGATGCTTAAGGTTTAAGAAAACAAGCCCCACCTGCTGTTTACCAGCCCCTGCATGTTGGAAACAGTTCAATCACTCACCCCCAAACCCCAGCTTCTAATTGAAAGGTTGGCAGTTCAAGCCCCCTCTGAGATGCCTCTGAAGGAAGGCATGGTGATCTGCATCCAAGAAATCAGATGGAAATGCTATTGTGCACAGCCCTGCTCTGACCCATATTTGGTTGCCGTTGGTCAACGTCGGTTAGAAAGAGCCAGCCTCCCTCACCAGCTGTCTAAACCAAGGCTTCGGTAGTTTTTGCTATATTTTCCCCGCACGCGTGCGTATTTATTGCGGGTGGTGTGCAGCAGCATCAAGTTGATCTGTGGCTCACAGTGACCCCTTGAGATAGGAGGACCACCTGATTGGGTTTCTTGGGCGCCGATGTGGGTGGGGAACCGTTTGTCCATCAAGCCTTCCTCCCCGGGAGCTGGGGGTGGGTGTGAATCTCGCTGTCTCTGTCAGCAGCCTTGCACTCAACCGTTGTGCCTCCGGGGCTCCTCTCCCTTGTAGGAGTACTTTTGTTTATTTCTCCTTTTCTAAACATAGCGAGATCACACTCTTAAGGTTTTTATCCTCTTACTCATTTGAAATTTTCAGGTGTTTTCCGATGCAATGAGTTTCTTAAAGAGGGTTTTAAATCTGCGTATGTGTACTTTAGAAGCACGTCATGAATTCATTCTCCTTTTCAGTCATTCCAAGCCATAGTGGTACCCAGAGTGAAAACGAAAGTTCTCCTCCCATTAAGACGGTCCCCTCCCCATGCCCTCCACCCTTGTTCTCACTTCCCTCCCCATAGGTAACCACTGTCGGTGGTTTGGTTACACACATAGTTTTTAAATAAGCATATCATTTTCCCACCTGATGGAAAAAAATCAAACAGTTCCCTTATTGGGATATTTAGGTTGTTTCCTGGTTCAGTTATTTCTTTTAAAACACATGTGGCAAAGGATCCCATTGGGTGGAACCTAACACCGACCACAGACTGGACTGTCCATGTGCTTCTGATCTTTTTACAGTCAAGCCGGGGCACTAAGTGAGAATCCAAGTGGAGAACAGTCGAGTGAGAGAAGGGACCCACCGGGTGCTTTGCCTCTCTGCTGTCCAACTACCTCGAGCTTTGGGGCGTCGTACCCACTTGACAGGCAGGAGAGCTGAGGTTCCGTGAGACCGAGTGCCTTGCCCAGTACCACACATTCACTCAGGGAAGAGTGAGGCTTCAAGTCGCCAAACACCAAGCACGCTGGGGGCTTGATGAGTCTCGGACTGAGCTCGGGAGCTTGTTTTCCTATCTTCCCACAGTGTAGCTAGGCCAGCACCATCCCAGCTGGGCATGCCATCTGTGTACCCGGAAGTCCTCCATGGCATATTGTCTGTGTTCTAGCTGGAGCTCCTGAGACGCGGAGAACCTCCCCCTAGTGTTTTATCTTCGCCCGCTCAGTTAATCCTCAGAGCGCGTTGAGGGTAGCGGGCATCATTCCTATTTTCCACATTAGGGAAAGAAGAGCGGGACCCATGACTCGGGTCTGAGCAACTCCCAGCCGGGCCCTGCTGCCTGCCAGGAGCTCTAGTAGCGCCTGCTCAGCAGGCAGCCCAAGCCTCATTCTGCCCTCCGTCTCCCTCCTTCCAGATAACAGCGACTTGATCGCATGCACAGTCATCACCAAAGATGGCAGCATGGTCCAGCGTTTCTTGGCAGTGGATATTTACCAGATGAGCTTGGTGGAGCCCGACGTATCCAGGCTTGGCTGGGGAGTGGTCAAGTTTGCAGGCCTTCTGCAGGTAAGGTGGCCATAACTCCGGCAATGCGTCTTAGCTGGCTGGGTGTACACACACACACACACACACCCACTCACTCACTCACTTACTCCATTTGAGAATTGATTTTAATCCCCTACCTTCTCCCAAGCTTCTAGATCTTTTCCTCTGCCAAATGCCTGTATAAATGTAGACGCATGCAGCCTGGGTAGGTGCTGACCGTCAGTTCTGGCTCAAGGTGAGCCCATGTGACAGAGAACAGCCGTGCCCCTTGGGGTGTTCTTGGCCACAGTTGGGTCTTTCTCCACTTTCTAGAAGATCTTGGGCCCTCACAGCTTCTGAGCAGCTGCCCTCCCCTTCAAGCTTAATGAGCTTCTGTACTCTGGCTCCTCCCTCTGCAGGACATGCAGGTGACCGGCGTTGAGGATGACAGCCGCGCCCTGAACATCACCATCCACAAACCTGCCTCCAGCCCCCACTCCAAGCCCTTCCCCATCCTCCAAGCCACCTTCATTTTCTCGGACCACATCCGCTGCATCATCGCCAAGCAGCGCCTCGCCAAGGGCCGCATCCAGGCCAGGCGCATGAAGATGCAGAGAATAGCTGGTGAGTGGGGGGGGATTGGG